AGTTATCTGTTGTTTCCATGACTTGAAGTTCTGTAGTTTCTAGAATATTTGTTCTTGGTACCTGATTAATAAATGCTATTGATTCTGGTTGGACAAAACTGGCAAAATCATCGGACCTTTCCTGTAGTATAATATTACTTTGTTCTATAGTTTTGAAACTTTCAACATCTCTTTTAACTTTTACCCCATCAGGAATAATAATATCATCGAGTTCATTTACGTTTTCAATAATATTTGGTTCAGAAGCGTGTATACTCTCCATTGTGATATGTTCAATTTTTGCAGTTTCCACTTTATCTAAATCATGCACTAAATTATCAGAACCAGTTTCAACTATGATATTTTGTGTTGTTGTGATATGTTTATCCGTCACTAAATCGATAGATGTACATTTAGTGGCGGTTGCAGATTCCAATTTCAAATTTTCTTCTTTTTCCTTTACAATTACATCAGTCACTTCTAAATGATGTTGAGGTAATAGAGTCAAGTTTGGAAGTACAGTTCTGGCGGTTTCATTTGAAATAATATTTTCTTCAGATTGTTTAATTAAAACTTCTTGCACTTCTATTGGAGCAGAGATTTCAAATGTGCATTTACCTACTTGATGTGGATGATTAAATAGTTCAACATTATGTTCTTCATTTTCCATTGTTTTCAATTCTGATACAATAAGATGTCTAGAGGTTTCAAAGTTTTGTGATAATTCTCCAACTTTTTCTGATTCGAACTGCTTTAAGAATGTTTCTTGTTCCAAAGGTATTACTTCAGTGACATCAAGATGATCAGCAACGCCAACTTTCATTTCAGGTTTAATAACTTTGGCTTGTTCAGTAGTCTTAAAGTTTTCATGTTGTTCTTCAGTTTCAACATTGCTTACAATTAGTGGCTTTATAGATTTTATGTTAATACTTCCTTTGGATTCCTTAGCTCTATGTATGGGATGTAAAATGTCTTCTGTTTCAGAGGTTTGACACATTTCAACATTTAAATGTGTATAAGGGCTTAAATTGACTGTATTTACAACACTTTCGGGTACTGGTGACAGTTTTAATGTCTCTTCCTTTTCTGCTAAAACAGCTTCAGCAACAGATAAGCTCTTCCATGGCTGCATATAAACACCTGCACTACTAGGGTTAATACCTTCTGGCGGTAAAATACTTTCACGCTCGTGTGATATAATTTCATTGATTTTTATTCCAGAGTTGAATACTAAATTATGTGTAATAGTACCCTCTTGTTTTGGAGTTTCACTTTCAAGAAGAGAAACACTTGACTCAGTCGGAATAGTTTCAATAATACTTAATGACTTTTGTTCTTCTATCATCCCTTTAGGTTTTTTGTAAAGCGGTGATACTGCGTTTAATTTATTTTCCGCTTCTATAACAAAAGGTTCCAATTTTCCTACTGCTTGCTGTGAATCTTGAATTTGTGTTGCAATTAATTGTGTTTCTGCTACAAGTTCCAAATCTTTACTGTTTTCTTGGACAATAACTTCACGCCTCACTAATGATTGTTGTTCATCAAGGGTTACAGAAACTGTCTTTTCAGAAGTTTTAATGTAATCTATTAAGCTTTCTTTCTCATTTGTCTGAATTTCAGTAATTTCCTTCGCAGACGATTCTACAAGTGTTGCCATCGCTTCTTGTTTACCTAATAATAGCTTATCATCTACTCTAAGGTTAGATTCTTTCTCAATTGGTAAAATTTCTGTGCCTTGCAAGGGTTTCCATTCTTCTTGTTTGAGAATAGCGTGAGATGAAGGGGTTGCTTCATTATCGGTTATATTTTCTACAGTATTTGAAGTAATAATTTCGGTATTTATTGTACTAGAGAGAGGAAAGAAACCAATTCCTACACCTTGTACGGACATTTTACATGGCTTTTCGTAAAAAACTTTTTCTTTTTCAATTATATCTGTACAACTCGTAACAAGAGCCTCATTTTCAGTTAATGTTGGGGTTACAGTATTGTTTTTAGTCACTTCTTTAGTGAGAATGAGCTCAGTTTCTGCTGCCACTACTTCAGTGTTATGTAAAGGATAAGCAGAAATAGGGCCAATTACAGGGTGTTGAGATATGGTTTCATTTATTACCAATTCTTCTGGAGTTTGACTTGGTATTATTTCTTCAGTCTTAGCCGTTTTTCCATAAATATCCATTTTCTCGGTAGCTCTTTTTGGAATAATACGAAAATCTTGACAGTTTTGTAGGTTATCTGATTGTGATAATATTTCTGATGTAACAAGTCCGTGACGCGGTTTGAGAGAAACATCTGCCTGTTGTTGAGGAGGCAATATATCCTTTGGTAATTTGTTTTCTTTTTCTATAACTACATTTTCATCTGATTCTGGTACTTTAAGAACGTTAATACTTATAGAAGGTTTCATACCTTTATGTTTCTCAGTTTCAAACGATCCCTCCTGAATATTCACTAAAACTTCGTGTTGAATTATAGCTTCTGAGATAACAGAATCACAGTTAGCTGATTTCATTATAACGTCTTCTACATTAAATGCATCGGGTAAAATCTCGGACTTACTTTCTTCAACAACTACTGCTTCACACTCAGAAATAAAAGGTTTTGCTTTATGAGCATCGGGTTTATCAGCAATAATTTCACTTTCTTTTTCATTGGAAGTAGTAGTTGTAATAGATACTCCTTCATGAGATAAATTCTCAACAGTCGCTCTCTGGGATGACGGCGGAATATTCATTTCTGTATCAAATGATACACTTAGGTCAGTGACTAATTCCGATGAAACTGCAACTGGATGACTTGTTATATCAGTAGAGGCTTTATAAGTCTTCGGGCCATCGCTTACGTGATAATCACTTTCTTTTTCACCTTCTATGGTTTCTGTAACACTTATAGTATCCTCTATGAAAACTATTTCTGAAGTAATCATTTTTGTAACTGGTGTATCAAATTCTTGCATAGGTTTCGCATCATCAAGAGTTTTACTTTCAGATATCATAATGGGCTGTAAAGTATTTGATGTTACTTCAGCGGTATCTACGACTGGTTGCAAGACATTTAATGAATCAGCAGTTTCCCTTGGGCTAACTAATGTGGTCACAGGAACTTTATGATCCACTGTTACAGTCATACTTGCAATTTTATTTACGACTGTTCTATCATTTTTTAAAGTTTCTTCATTTATATTCGGTACAATTTCGCTTACAACAATACCTTCAGTCTCTGAGAAAACAGGATTCGCTTGGTGGTTTTTAAGGACTTTATGTTCGTTATAATTTTCTGTTTGTTCCTGTACTGTCATTTGTGAAACAATCAATTCATTCGATAGACTTCTATTTTCAATTGCTGTGTCTTCATCTCGTTTAATAGTATCAAAAGCTTTTGTGTTACCAACTGGCGTTATTACTTCGGATAAAGGTGACTTTAAATTATGTGTCGATGTCTTATGTGCTTTCAACAAATCAGGCTTTTGCTTCATATTTAAGTTGTCAGCTGAATCTGCAGTTTCTGTTTCATATACCGAAACGGAAGTTTTGGGAATTACAGAAACTTTGACATTTTCAGGCTTCTGATATACATAATTTTCTGTGGTTTCTTGATCAAGCACTAAATTCGATGTTATGGTTTTTTCATTTTGTGTCACAATAGTTTCATTAACATTCTCGGTACCTTTATTTTCAGTGGAAATAAGATCATGTATCGGGGCTATTTCTATTGTTTCTGTCGTTATAATAGGCTCTAATACATTAATGTCAAGATTTGCTTGTACAAGTGGCTTTCTTTCAGTAAGCGGCATCGTGTTTTCACTATCATGTACTTGAATTTCTTCCGTTAAATTTTTATCTAATACCGCAATATCCACCCGGGCAAACAATTTATCCGCTGGTGTATCATTTTTTAAAGTATGCTCTGAATCATGAATCTGAGTTTCGGCGTTAAATTTATGGTGATATTCATTGAAACTCACATTAGCAGATTTTTTAGAATATTCGGTTGGTACTAACTCAATTTCTTTAATATGTGCCAGAGGTGAGTAATTTGTTAAACTTATATGGGTTCTAAAGTCCTCGTCAACGTGGGCCTCTACAGGTTGCTCACTTTTTGGTACTAAACCCTCTTTTTCGTGGGAGGTACTGGTCGATACTACAATACTTTCTTTTGAAACAAGATTTATTTTAGCCTCTTGTATACCTAGTTCTTTAGGTAAATAAAATGAACCTTCTTTCTCCGACACATTAAATATTTCGGTGGTTATTTGATTAGACACAATAACATCCTCTTTGGCTACTTCGGTAGGGACTATTAATTCAGGATAATATTTTCCTGATTTGTCTTCTACGAACACTTCACCAACCTGTAAAGATTCTAATAAATTAAAGTTTACTTTAGGAATTATTTCTTTATCGGCAACCTTGTTAATGAAATCGTTTTCTTTATATTCTGTTTTAACTTCACCTACTTCAAGGCTAGACAAGGGATATATTGAAATAGATGCAACAGTTTCCTTTAAAGGTGATTCATCAAAGGGACTTTCTTTCGAAGGTATAATATGTTCAGAAACTTTTAGAGCATTATTCAATAATATGGACGATTTTGCCGTTTCTTCATTTTGAGTAGATTTTTCAATTCCACCAACCGATATATTAACAATAGTTTCTAGTGTTTCAACACCTTCCGATGAAACAATAGAGCTCTTTGTTTTTATTTGTTCTTGGTTTAAACTACCAAGTGCACATTCACCAATTGAATAATTTACATCAGCTTCTGTTATTTGCACCGGTTCTGCTTCGCTTATAACAGGTTTCGAAATTGATTTTGGCTTTTCGAATACTTTCAAAGTACTTTCCGTCTCTTGCGCTTCTTGTATAACATTTATTAGTGATCGATTTGAGTCAACTTTAATTACGGCATTGTGTTCTTTTGCCTCTTGGGGAACAATGTTCGTTATTTCACTGGAAGCTATAATTTCAATTCTATTATCACACATGTTAGTTGGAATAGCTTGAACTGATGAATGTAGCTCACTATCTAACTTTTTTTACATTTTCTTCTTCTTCATATTCAGTAACTTCTCGGGGGTATAACTCTTTCTTAGATTTAGTGGTTATTTGTTTTACTTCTTCAAATTCTTCCGATATTTTTAGATGTTTTGTGTGTTTGCGTTTGGCTTGTTCAATTTCATCTGTGGAATACAGTACAGTATATGAATGACAGAATATAAGACAGTGATATTAAAAATTACGTAGTATGTATATGTTAGTAAAGTATGTCAGTTTATTTAAATAACTAAACTATTTTTATATATTAAAATGAAAGTTGGTACTTACTTTAAGCTTTAAATTATATCCAAAGAAGCAGTCTTGAAGCCAAATTGCCGACACAAAAGCTGGATTAATATCTACTGTTTTAAATTATTAGAGCGTTGAATCGTTAATAACTAATCGCAGTAAAAGCTGCAATATCAACCATTGATGTAATTTGAACAAATATACTATATTATACATATAAAACGCGGTTTATATATCAAAATAATACCATATTATTATATATAGCTATCACAAGGCAGTGTTAATTAATTAAAATTGTATTAATTATGTATTTACTATTATACTTTTTAATATAATATTAAGCAGGCGCTGACATTGATTTTAGAGCCTTAGATTTTTTAAAGCATTGTTCTTAGTTTACTCACCTTTAACGACTTTATGTATCGACGACCGGGAGTCTGAAAAGTAAATACAGTAATCACAAAAAAATGAACTACGTACAAAATAGGATTGATATTTTTTGAGTACTACGACTGATATCTTTAATAATCTACTTATTTATATAGCTACCTTTATGTACTTCTGTAGATAGCATTTTTGCTGTTTCTGTTACCGAAGTATCAACTGTTACCTGAAAAATCAATTATTAGTAAAAAATAATAATAACGGAAACGATTGATATTTTTTGCTTTAACTGATAAGATCTGATATAATGCTGCTTACAAGGTTATTTGGCATGAAATTAACACACTTTACAATTCGAGGATAAGTTATGTCTTAAAATATATTTACCTCATGAGCTGATTTCTCTTCCCATGATCGTGGAGTAAAATCTTCGGGATATAAATGAGCAATAACTTCTTCAACAGAAGTATGTTTCATTTCTACCATTTTCATGAAAGCTCTGAACCCAACCTTTGCTCCAATAATATCTTCTGTTTGAGCCGTTTCTTCAGTCAGAACCTCTGTTATTAAAGCACCATGACCTTGTCTTTCAACTAACTGCACTAACGCTGACTGTGATTGTGGTATTCTTAGCGATGGAAAATATTCAGAGTCATACAGGCTTTCAATTTCCTGAACAGTTATGCCATTCCTCAACAAATACCCAATCGTGGCGAGCTCACGCAGCGGTGACTGACCAGGACCGAATTCTTTGGCATTGATAACTTCCAACAGCTCATTAACTTCAGCGACTAAACGAGTATCAGACACTTTTCGAGAAATAACTTTTTGCAAGTCATTCGCGCTCTTTTCAAAACTTTCTACCGTTTCGTGCATATCTTGTTGGGATGTAACTAAATATTGATTAGGACTGATGATTGTTTCAACTTTTTCTAAACCCGTTGTTTTTACTTTCTTATCCGATTTTTTTAATACAGCTACGTCCACGGTTTGAATTGAGTGTAATTCGTCAATCGAGATTGTAGCCTTCTCTTCTGTAGGTACATCCTGAAGTGGTTCCGTTATTGCCAAATTTTCAGGTTCAGTTTTAAGTACTGATGATGAGGTATCTTCTATCGATGTCACGGCCTTTACTTCTTCTTTAAAGTCCTGTTTAATCGTTCTCACCCGCGTCTTTTTAACTGTCTCAACTTTTTCTTCTGCTTCAAATACTCGTAGTTCAGCTTTTGTAATAGCCATTCCAATTTCACTAACAGCTTTACACATGTATGTACCTTCTAGATTCTTTGCTGCTTTTTTAATTTTACACACAGTTTTGTTTTCTTTCGTCACAATTTGGAAGTTGTTGTCAGTTCTTAAAACTTTATCGTCCTTATACCAGACTATTTCTAAAAAGGAAAAGTTAACAATTAATTTATTTAAATCGCTAAAAGTATACAAATCAAAGAGCTTGGTCAATAAAAAATGGATTTTAAACCTTGTATGTCGTTAAGTTTAGGCGATCCGATTTTTTTGTACTCTAAATCGGAATCGTAAATAGTTTTAACTAATTTATATGACAAAAAAAACTACAAAACCTGGTTTGGGATTTCCACTGAAAACAGCTTCAAAAGTAACGCTTTCTCCTTCTTGAAGACGCTCTGATACGATATTTTGAACGAAGGATGGAACTGAATGTGTAGCTGTAATTTTAGATTAGATTAAAAACATATTCAGATGTCGATGATAAACTTGCAAGCTATTTGCGTCAATCAAAACTATATGAAACAGGTTTTTGTTTTTCAGAAAACAGAAGTGGCAGCTTAGTGACGAGGAAAGGAAAAGAAGTTCATTTTTTCCTACATGAGGTATGTATGTTACAATATAAAGTCACTCTCGCATTTCTCATATTAAGCGGTGAAAAATAAAAATATGATAACTTTCTTGTAATTTAAAATTTGTTGAGTTTTGCAGCAAGCTGATTAATATTATTAATAAATGGCATGGTAAATATAAAAGTTGAGGAGTCTACCTTTCAACGTTTCCTGTAGTTCTTCCATATGAGTGACCCATTCTGGTTTTCGATATTCTTTTGTTCCAACAAGACCTAAAGTAAGTAAACCTAAGTAAATTTATTAGTTTTAAAGTAAATTAAACTACACGATATCGGAAATATGTCATCTCCCCGTGATATTAGCCGATCAAATCGTCTACATAGTGAAATACAAGTCTGTAATGATTCATGTTTGAAAGTGTTACACATAGTTTAAATTGAAGATAATGTAGGAATTGGATAAAGGAAATGAGAACTCGATGTCGAGCGCTGAAAAATACAACAGTGCTGAATTTAATACATAGACTCACGTTAAATGAAAATAATCAATTATAAAAAATATTGTACGTAGTTGCTTGATATTCAATTTTCCAAGGTACTCGCATAACCCTAGAGGATAATATAAACCTATAAACATTAGACTTAGTGCATTTATAGATATTTTGAGATAAAAGCAATACAATCACATACAGTATAATATTTTACTACTTATAAAAAATATATATACTGCCCAATATAATCATGAAGTATGAAGTAGCCAGAACAGGATAAATGCATACAATTGATATAATTGTTTATATCCCTATTGATTAACTTACTCTCAACGGATAGTGCTGCTATGGTCGCTGTTACACCTAAAGGATTTTGTGCCTCAAATGTGATTTCACCTGTGTCATCTTGATACACTTCGGGGATAATTAAAATAGAGGTACCATCACTCATTTCTTCTATTTGATATTCTTGAGACTGTTTTATTTCTACGCCTTGTTTCAGCCATTTTATTTGTGGCTTAGGCACTCCGATGGCTTTAGCCTCAAGTCTGTAACACAATTCGGCTTATATAGATTATAGTACTTGATTTTGTAAAGTTAAAGGAATATTGAAGATATCTATGACATATGAAACAACAACAGACTAACTCATACTTTAAGACAGAAGAAGGTAGATAAGCGTAGAGTTCACTTGATAGGAATGGTAATACCCCAGCCATATGACATCTAGACAAAATTCCTTGTTGAACTTAAACCTACCTTGTCAGTTCCCCTTCATTCGCTTTTACCACAGTAGGTAGGGCTTTCACAATTTTTGGAGCGAACTCTTCGAGATCACTGGTTTTCTGAAAATAACAATAATATATTAAAACTTCAGAGGTAAATTTTAAAATAGTGCTTACAATTGTATCTCTAACAATCATTTTTGTACGTATCAGATATTATTCTTAATCTCTTCACACTAACTCTTGAAGTCATCATAATATAATTTCAACAATAACTTATAGTGTCATATAGTCCCTCGGATTTTTTTATATTATGTCCAGCTTGTTCCAAGGTATCCAATTATATCTACTCACATACAATACAGCTTTTTTATAATATTAGTAGAAATATGATAGTTATATTTACCTCATCACTTAGTATATCTTCTTCGGACGCACTCGGTACATATTCATACGCTGAAAAAAATTTACATTTTGAGAATATTGTTTTTTTTTTATATTTTTAATTTACACCTCAAGAGCTTAAATCTCAAATAAATGCTGAATTCAAAAGCTTTGTAGTGTGTTTCAGAGCAGCAAAAATATTTTAGCTGTGTTTGGTAAGCCGTAACGTAAAGTTTGTTATGTAGGTTTTTGTGTAAAATGCAAACGGGTGCCCAACAAACAATTTTACTAGATAATACGTCTAAATTATTATTACTACACCGTGCCTAGGTGCCATATTAACTCAAAAATTTAAAGTACCCAATACCCTTATGATTTATAGTTTATTCATGCAATTATAGTTAATAGATGCATTGTGCATGCATTTAAAAATAACTGGAAGCTACCTTCCACGTCAACTACGCTTTCACTAAAACATTGTCCGAACTCGTTTGTTGCTACACATCGGTAAATTCCACTCATTTCTGGGAAAGCTTCCTTTATACATATTTCACACAGCCCAGATTCTTGTCTCCCAATAGTAATGTCTCTGGCGACCTCTATTAGTTTATCATTGTGATACCATTCAATTTTAGGCCAAGGTTTGCCATTCACGATACATTTCAGTAGAATTGGGTCACCATCCATAACAGTAGTCGGCTTCAAATCACTTATAAAATCGGGTGGTATTCCTATTGACTTTTCATCATCATGTAATACTCTTAGAGTAGCTGAACACGACACAGATCCAGCAAAGTTCTCTGCTCTACATGTAATAATGCCATCTACATCTTTGTTAACATTTTCAAGACAAAGGCATGATATGTTATCCCTGCTTGTGACATAAATATCTTTAATTTTATTCTCTTTTACATAGGATACCACTTCTTTATTACCGAAAAACCATTGGAATGATGCACAAGGATTAGATTTTACTTCGGTTTCAAGAAGAACTATGTCTCCGTTGTGAACAAATTGGGGTTGCAATGGTCTAATAAACACAGGAGGTTTAACTTCTTCTTCATCTTTCGACTTTTTTAACTTAATGGAGGACGCTGATTTAACAATGATACCGTGATTTTCTAAAATTGTTTCGTATTTTCCCATTTTCTTTTTATCCGCTCTGTGTACTTTCAAAGTTGATATACCAGGTTCCGTATATGTTTGAAAATCTTCACAATTCTCAATTGGCTTATTGTTAATATACCACGAAATCTTACGAACATAATCTGGTTTAAAAGTTACAAAGAGTTCAAAACTATCTTTTTCGTTAACTATTGCTGCTTGTATTGGTTGAATTATTATGGGCCCACACTCTGTAAAGATTATTGGTATTACTTTTTCCGCAAAAAACGAGCGTCTTAAACAGGGTTACATTAACTAGGAAATTGCTTATTGGCACCACAATTATAGAGTTCAAACATAAACCAAGGCGAATAACTAACGAAACTACTTACTTACTATTACGAAAATCATTTAAAAAATTATAGTTGCAAAAAAATAGATTTGTAATAAAAATGTACATTAGTGCGTTTGTAATGTAATATATTGTACACTGAAGAAATATTATTGGGTCAAGATGAATGGAAACTGAACTTTTGTGTAAATTTGTTTTAACTAACGTAAATAGAACAAGAAACGAAAATCATTTGAATTTTTTGGGACCGATTAGAGAGTTAAGGTCTTGCTTAATGTAACAGTTACTCACCTATATTAAAAATTAAAATAACTTACCTTTCTTATCTAGAGCTTGTGATAGTTCATCAGGTTGCTCTTGATCAGGTTTGTCTTCTTCCGGTTGCTTCTGCCTTTGAATCGGTTTAAGAACAACTTCCTCCAAAGGCTTTTCTTCCTTGGGCTTTCTTTTACCCGTACGCCAGGTTACCTCTTCCGGTTTATCTTCTTCAACAGGCTTCTCTTTTTTAACTGGCTTGAGCTCCACTTCTTCGGGTTTGTCTTCTTCTGGTTTCTTCTGCTTTGGAATTCGTTTGAGCACTACTTCCTCCACGGGCTTTTCTTCCTTGGGCTTTGTTTCACCAGTACGCCAGGTTACCTCTTCCGGTTTATCTTCTTCAACAGGCTTCTTCTTTTTTAACTGGCTTGAGCTCCACTTTTTCGGGTTTGTCTTCTTCTGGTTCCTTCTGCTTTGGAATTGGTTTGAGCACTACTTCCTCCACGGGCTTTTCTTCCTTGGGCTTTCTCTTACCAGTACGCCAGGTTACCTCTTCCGGTTTATCTTCTTCAACAGGCTTCTCTTTTTTAACTGGCTTGAGCTGCACTTCTTCGGGTTTGTCTTCTTCTGGTTGCTTCTGCTTAGGAATCGGTTTAAGAACTACTTCCTCCACAGGCTTTTCTTCCTTGGGCTTTCTCTTACCAGTTGGCCACGATTTTTCCTCTGGTTTATCTTCTTCAACGGGTTTCTCTTTTTTGACTGGCTTGAGCTGCACTTCTTCGGGCTTGTCTTCTTCGGGTTCCTTCTGCTTTGGAATCGGTTTAAGCACTACTTCCTCCACAGGCTTTTCTTCCCTGGGCTTTCTCTTACCAGTACGCCAGGTTACCTCTTCCGGTTTGTCTTCTTCAACGGGCTTCTCCTTTTTTAACTGGCTTGAGCTGCACTTCTTCGGGTTTGTCTTCTTCTGGTTGCTTCTGCTTAGGAATCGGTTTAAGAACTACTTCCTCCACAGGCTTTTCTTCCTTGGGCTTTCTCTTACCAGTTGGCCACGATTTTACCTCTTCCGGTTTGTCTTCTTCAACGGGTTTCTCTTTTTTAACTGGCTTCAGCTGCACTTCTTCGGGCTTGTATTCTTCTGGTTCCTTCTGCTTAGGAATCGGTTTGAGAACTACTTCCTCCACGGGCTTTTCTTCCTTGGGCTTTCTCTTACCAGTACGCCAGGTTACCTCTTCCGGTTTATCTTCTTCAACAGGCTTCTCTTTTTTAACTGGCTTGAGCTGCACTTCTTCGGGTTTGTCTTCTTCTGGTTCCTTCTGCTTAGGAATCGGTTTAAGAACTACTTCCTCCACGGGCTTTTCTTCCTTGGGCTTTCTCTTACCAGTACGCCAGGTTACCTCTTCCGGTTTATCTTCTTCAACAGGCTTCTCCTTTTTAACTGGCTTGAGCTGCACTTCTTCGGGTTTATCTTCTTCTGGTTGCTTCTGCTTAGGAATCGGTTTAAGAACTACTTCCTCCACAGGCTTTTCTTCCTTGGGCTTTCTCTTACCAGTTGGCCACGTTTTACCTCTTCCGGTTTATCTTCTTCAACGGGTTTCTCTTTTTTGACTGGCTTGAGCTGCACTTCTTCGGGCTTGTCTTCTTCGGGTTCCTTCTGCTTTGGAATCGGTTTAAGCACTACTTCCTCCACAGGCTTTTCTTCCCTGGGCTTTCTCTTACCAGTACGCCAGGTTTTACCTCTTCGGTTTGTCTTCTTCAAGGGGTTTCTCTTTTTTTGACTGGCTTCAGCTGCACTTCTTCGGGCTTGTCTTCTTCTGGTTCCTTCTGCTTTGGAATCGGTTTGAGCACTACTTCCTCCACGGGCTTTTCTTCCTTGGGCTTTTTCTTACCAGTACGCCAGGTTACCTCTTCCGGTTTGTCTTCTTCAACAGGCTTCTCTTTTTTAACTGGCTTGAGCTGCACTTCTTCGGGCTTGTCTTCTTCTGGTTCCTTCTGCTTTGGAATTGGTTTGAGCACTACTTCCTCCACGGGCTTTTCTTCCTTGGGCTTTCTCTTACCAGTACGCCAGGTTACCTCTTCCGGTTTATCTTCTTCAACAGGCTTCTCTTTTTTAACTGGCTTGAGCTGCACTTCTTCGGGTTTGTCTTCTTCTGGTTGCTTCTGCTTAGGAATCGGTTTAAGAACTACTTCCTCCACAGGCTTTTCTTCCTTGGGCTTTTTCTTACCAGTAGGCCACGATTTTACCTCTTCGGTTTGTCTTCTTCAACGGGTTTCTCTTTTTTGACTGGCTTGAGCTGCACTTCTTCGGGCTTGTCTTCTTCTGGTTCCTTCTGCTTTGAAATCGGTTTGAGCACTACTTCCTCCACAGGCTTTTCTTCCTTGGGCTTTCTCTTACCAGTACGCCAGGTTACCTCTTCCGGTTTGCCTTCTTCAACGGGTTTCTCTTTTTTGACTGGCTTCAGCTGCACTTCTTCGGGTTTGTCTTCTTCTGGTTGCTTCTGCTTAGGAATCGGTTTGAGAACTACTTCCTCCACGGGCTTTTCTTCCTTGGGCTTTCTCTTACCAGTACGCCAGGTTACCTCTTCCGGTTTGTCTTCTTCAACAGGCTTCTCTTTTTTAACTGGCTTGAGCTGCACTTCTTCGGGCTTGTCTTCTTCTGGTTCCTTCTGCTTAGGAATCGGTTTAAGAACGACTTCCTCCACGGGCTTTTCTTCCTTGGGCTTTCTCTTACCAGTACGCCAGGTTACCTCTTCCGGTTTATCTTCTTCAACGGGTTTCTCTTTTTTAACTGGCTTCAGCTGCACTTCTTCGGGTTTGTCTTCTTCTGGTTGCTTCTGCTTAGGAATTGGTTTAAGAACTACTTCCTCCACGGGCTTTTCTTCCTTGGGCTTTCTCTTACCAGTACGCCAGGTTACCTCTTCCGGTTTATCTTCTTCAACAGGCTTCTCTTTTTTAACTGGCTTGAGCTGCACTTCTTCGGGTTTGTCTTCTTCTGGTTGCTTCTGCTTAGGAATCGGTTTAAGAACTACTTCCTCCACAGGCTTTTCTTCCTTGGGCTTTCTCTTACCAGTACGCCAGGTTACCTCTTCCGGTTTATCTTCTTCAACAGGCTTCTCTTTTTTAACTGGCTTGAGCTGCACTTCTTCGGGTTTGTCTTCTTCTGGTTGCTTCTGCTTAGGAATCGGTTTAAGAACTACTTCCTCCACGGGCTTTTCTTCCTTGGGCTTTCTCTTACCAGTACGCCAGGTTACCTCTTCCGGTTTATCTTCTTCAACAGGCTTCTCCTTTTTAACTGGCTTGAGCTGCACTTCTTCGGGTTTGTCTTCTTCTGGTTGCGTCTGCTTAGGAATCGGTTTAAGAACTACTTCCTCCACGGGCTTTTCTTCCTTGGGCTTTCTCTTACCAGTACGCCAGGTTACCTCTTCCGGTTTGTCTTCTTCAACAGGCTTCTCTTTTTTAACTGGCTTGAGCTGCACTTCTTCGGGCTTGTCTTCTTCTGGTTCCTTCTGCTTAGGAATCGGTTTAAGAACTACTTCCTCCACGGGCTTTTCTTCCTTGGGCTTTCTCTTACCAGTACGCCAGGTTACCTCTTCCGGTTTATCTTCTTCAACAGGCTTCTCTTTTTTAACTGGCTTGAGCTGCACTTCTTCGGGCTTGTCTTCTTCTGGTTCCTTCTGCTTTGGAATCGGTTTGAGCACTACTTCCTCCACGGGCTTTTTGTCCTTGGGCTTTCTCTTACCAGTACGCCAGGTTACCTCTTCCGTTTTATCTTCTTCAACGGGTTTCTCTTTTTTAACTGGCTTCAGCTGCACTTCTTCGGGTTTGTCTTCTTCTGGTTCCTTCTGCTTTGGAAACGGTTTGAGCACTACTTCCTCCACGGGCTTTTCGTCCTTGGGCTTTCTCTTACCAGTACGCCAGGTTACCTCTTCCGGTTTATCTTCTTCAACAGGCTTTTCTTTTTTGACTGGTTTAAGTTTTTCGGGTTTATCTTCATCAAATGCTATATCCTCCTTAACTGGTTTAAATTTCATCTGATCCGATTCCTTTATCTCTGGTTGTCGTCGTTTTTGAACCGGTTTTTCTACAATTTTCTCGCGTGGTTGTTCTTCTTTGGGTTTTTCATCTTCCTTTTCTTTTTCAACAATCTCTTCATCTTTAATAGTTAAAATGACTGTGTCTTCTTCAGATGTTATGCTTTGCTCGATTACCAATGTTTTGACATTATCTTTAGAAAGATTTTGGGTCGATTTTAAATTTATTTCTTCCAGTTTTTCTTTTGGAATAGGAATCTTTTCAATTTTAGTTTGTTTTAATTTAATAGCTTGTTTAGTCCAGGGTACAGGTTCTTCTTTTTGAAGCATTGGTGCTATTTTAATTTTTTGGTTTCGTTTTTCCGTTTTCTTTAATAAAGATGAATCGTCTAATGTAGTTTCATCAATAATTTCTTCCTTTGCGGTACTTTCATTCATTATTTTCTTCTTTTTCTGTGTACGCCAATGTCTGATTTCACTATTTTCTGTGTCTTGATGTTCTTCAGTAATCTCATCATGATCAATTTTAAGAATGGATGAGTCGTCAGATGAAGTGATTACATCTGTAGATACATTTGTATCTTTGCGTGGTTTTCTCCAGTGCTTCACTTCTAATTTATCTTCATTTGACACCAAAGTCCTTTCTTTGCTAGTAGTTCGCCAAGGAACATTCGCAACTTGCCTTGACTTGACATCTTCAACGTTATTTAATTTTAAGATAGTACTCTCTTCTGTTGACGTCTGTACATGACGATTAAGGGACACACCAGTATCATTTGTAACAGAACTTTCAGTCTCTATTTTATCTTCGTGTTTTGTTTTTGTCTTCTGTATCCTTGTTTCTGTAAGCAATAAAATCATTTTTTTTATATTTATATTAAAATCCGCCAAGAAGTGTGGAGATGAAAATAATATATTTAATGCTTTCATTTTCATAGTGGACATTGTACCGGTAAAATAAAGATTTTTGCAATTGATTAAAAAGCTAGCATTATAAACCTAGAGCAAAATGTTTCTTTCTTTTTAAAAAAAGCATTCGTAATTATTTTAAGAGGTCGGAGAGACAGCAGTTTTTTTTTTATTTGTAAATACTGATATTGATCAGTAGTAGTCATTAACAATTAGTTGTGAAACGCTAACATATATAAAAATATGCGCATATAAAAATGAAATCTCAAAATGTATTTACTGAATTTGTTTAAAACGCGATATATTAGTTAAACTTATTTAGCAGCCGTGGTCACGCAAACCGTCCGAAACGTCGCGGTCGGGCCGAGGTTAAAAATCATTTTCAAATAAGTTTAACTAACATATCGCGTTTTAAGCCGTCAAGTGTTTTATTTAAAAGATGTGTATATTCAATTTAGTATATTGCCAAAATAAAATAAAAAAAGACCTATATAAAGTTCTAAAATATTGACAGAGTAGTGTCTTGACACTTGTGTATTGGTAGGTATTGCAACTAGCACGTTGTTGCCAAGTGTCAGTAGTAGGTACCTTTCATCCGCAAGTAATCTATCGACAAATATTTAGAAGCTGAAGTGTTTGTTTGCACGAGCTAATCCCATAAACTACTGGTTAGAAATGAAAAATTATTTTTGTCTTTGTTGGACCACTATTAAACTTTTTAGGTTATTGTCTTTAAATATTAGGATGGAGCACACGCAAAGCAAGTCGCTTTGAGTGCGAAAAAGATTGGAAGAAACTAAATACCATGTATGAAAGAATAATTCTTCCTGAAATGATCTTACAACTGTCCGCGATATACACTCGCAAAAACCACGGGACGCGGAAAACGTTGTGGGCTGTTACTATGCCACGCGGCCAGTCTCGGGCACAGCGAGAATTACCTATATTCAGCGACGTGAATAGCGGCTTATAAATTACAACTAATTAAAACATTAAGTACTGTCTATAGTTTACGCGTCAACTTTTTTTTATTTAAAAATGATTTTTAACTGAGTTTAACTAATATATCACGTTTTAAACCGTTAAAGTGTTTTATTTAAAACGTTATGCTTAAAAAAATACGGTTTTTAGTTGCCTTATTGGTTCTTAGTTCATTAACTTCTAACAGTTAAAACATCAGTTATTTGCGGTTTCAGTATTTTTGTTGGTTATTTTAATGTTTTATCTATAATGCAATAAAAATGTAATTCATATTCTGTGTATTTCATATGTACGTTAACAGATCGAAATATTTACATACATTAGGATTGCCGATCAGAAACATTATTTTGTCTTCCTATGGAGTTTGAAATTTTGTGCATTATTATCATTGGATTCGCTTTTGACTGATTGAAAGTATTTGGCACTAGATGGCTCTATACAAACATTTTTGCAATCGCCCTGTGACTAATACAAGCGAGGATACAGCGAGAAGTGTGAAAAAAATGGGATTTGAAAATGCATTATTAAGCGTTTCTGAATCGGATTCCTAAAAATATGTATGAAGGAATGATTCCTTTTCTATCTTTTAAGACTAACTTGCAAGAACGACAGGAAGGGACGCTAACGACGTCGTGGGTAACTGCTAAGTTTATAAAGATGAAGGTGTTTGTAAAAACGTTATGAAAATCTATCTTACGTAAACTTCGTAAAGGATATCTATTTTTAGCTTTTTTATATATTTTAATGGGTTTTTACTATGTTTCTAAGTAACTTACATTTTATTTCCAATGTCTATTTCTTTTGTTACAACAAAAACTTGTATTTCAAAAATACAATAAAAAGAAACATTCCAACGAACGAAATTAAATCCGCAATATATTTTTTATAGAATAACCAATTTAAATAATACGAAAAGAAATGTTGATAATTGTTTGATTTGAAAACTATATTGGATTATCATGGTCTAATTTTATAAGTCTATTTTTCCTGGAAAATCTCGCATTTTTTGTATTAATATATGTTCTATAATGTAGTTAAACACATTTTTGTTCTATCATCAATAGCTATAGATTTATAAGTAAAGATGGCTTATATTATCCGAATTAAAAAATTACGCTATGTCACTCAGCACCCTTTTTTAAATTGTCAAAGTAATTTTTGAATTCATTAATTTCACCTGTAGCTGGGTTCTGATTTATAACAATCAAGTGACGCCATATTGGAATACTCAAAACAGCTTTACGAGTACCTTTTTGGTTTATAATAGTACGCTGCAAAACGGTTGAAGATACCAAAAAATGTTACAAACGATGATTCTTCCTTTAATGATCTAAAAAAATGTCCGCGACACTATTAAAGTCAACTTGAAACAACGACGTGACGCATTGCCGTAGGAAACAGCTTAAAATTAAAAATAACTACTTATTCTACGCGGACGAAGTCGCCGACACAGCTCATCTATACTAATATTATAAAGAGGAAAGATTTGTATTTTTGTATGTAACGGATAAACTCAAAAAGTACTGGACCGAATTTTAATAATCCCTTTTTTTATTAGAAAGCTATATTTAGTACTTGATTACTATAGGCATCTTTAGAAATTCTTACTAAAACCAACGGAAGGCGTAAAAAAATTAGCCGTAAAAAGTTTTTTTTTGCATACGTTGGGAAAAATATTAATGATAGGACAAATGTATATGTATATGTTCGACAATATTATAGAATATATCAATATCTACAAAAAAACATCGCGAGAGCAGTTTTAAATTATGTCTAACTATTGTAGTTACGTCGCTATAACTACTTTTTTTACATTTAACAAATTGATAGAAATGCCGATCTAAATCAACCGTGTTATCCGTACCATTTATACATTTTTATCCAAATAAATAATTTAATATTCAAGACTGTCTCAATACCTGATGATTACTTTTTTAATTATTGAAATCGGATATTCCATTCAAAAGATATCATGAAATTAAAATAAAAATACATGCGCGGCGTCCGATCGTCGCCAATGAGTAACTATTCGACGATAGAGGGGCAGCGGGCTCCTTACGCAGTGGGCGCGAACGAAATTGAATATTTCGAGTTTTTTTTTACATTTTTATGCTTCACTTAAAAAGTCCTTTAATAGCTACTTAGTATTAGTATTAAGAATCACACTTTGCATAATGTTTGTCAAAGTTCTTTTCAGAACTATCGCTTTGAACTTGAATATTTTCTTTTGTATTAATTATTAGTTTATTCTTAATTTCTCTGGTTTAAAATAAATATCCTTCATAGCAATATGCCAAGAAGAAGAAGGTAGCAGCTATCTAAGAATAGTTTCCAAGCGAGATTAGTAAAAGTTCGTCGTATTGGAGTCTTCTTCCTAAAATGATCGTCTGGAAAGTATGAGTGTACGCGTCCCAATCGCGAGCCAGAGATTCTATCGTCGAACGTTCAGGTTCGTCTTGCAGAACAAAATGCAAGATCGTAGCAGCGACTTGAAGGAAATAGAGCTAGGAATTCGCGAACGTGTACACGGGACACTAACACTCAACGCTCCCAGCGGCTTCTGAACCAGCGAGATAGACCACGTTCGTTAACAGCTAGGACGCGTAATACATTTTTTTTGCTAATTTAGTGATTCATGGTCGTTTTAATTACCAGATATTTGTACTTATTTATGGCTACCCGTGCGAGGCGGGAGAGGGCCGCTAGTTCTTTAATATAAGGCACACCTGCTGAAGCCTACTTTTTTAATATTTAAATAAATACATTCGGCATCACCACAAGAAGACAAAAGTACTAATTAAGTCACTTTTGTACGTTAAATTATTACTGAAACGGATACACAATATTCAATAAAACTTTTATCTTGCATAATTGTCCAATATCTACATTTTCAAATTTAACTCTCCCAAGCTTTAATTAATTTATAAACTGCGAAAATATCATTAATGTCATTAATTTCGGAGATAATCCTGAAGATACAAACATATTCTTTTATTATAAATTGACCATATATTTTTTGTTACCTATATGTAACGACTGTTTATTTATAAATGTACAGATAGCAAAATGATTTCTAGCGCTTTGTTTTTTCTAGTATGTGATATAGTTTTTTATTTTCTAAAAGGGTAAAAAAAAACAACCACTTAGTGAACTTTTTGTTAGGAAAAGAGGTAGTATTTAATCTAATAATAATTAACTTATCAAACTACTCACAATTACTTGAATGTTTCAAATCCCATTTACATATCAAATAATTTTTAGATATCTTCATATAGGTAAAAATTTAAGTTTTAGAGAAAACTTCTTCTGCTTTGATAAACCATATTTACAGTTATATTAAAAAGCCGATGAGTTTATTTTCTTGTTTGAACACAATAATCTCAGGAAGTACTTATTTAAATTAAAATTCTTTTATGTATTAGTTAGACCGCTTATTGAGAATGTTTATGGCATCAGGGAGGAACCAAAAGGAACAAAGAAACAGAGGGAAAGTGATTTTTTAAGTTGTGTTTTCTATAATATACAACTGTGTATTCTATAACCAACAATTTTTTAAATTCTAAATAGATTTCAAATTTTTATAGAACTACATACATTATTGGTCTTTTCATAAAGTTTATGGCTAATTCTGGTACTTTTATAATTTTAACAGCTTTATTTCTCATTTTTTTTGCGATCATTTACTGTACATTTTCATTAAACTAAACAAAAAATTAAATTATTCAACCTACAACTATCCGACAGCAATAAGAAAAATCTTTATTGTTTCAAGCAATTTAAGATTCTTGTCTAAGCCTAATTAAAAAGTCATGGATCAAAAAACAGTTGTGATTGACTTAAAATTTAAATTAATATATGTGCTAATTATAGCAAAATTCTTATATTAAAGTCAATACTTATTCTTTAACACAGCCTGTATAATATGTGTGAAAATTCCTGCAGTACAAGTGTACTAGTGTATAGTGACTATTATATTAATATTTAATCTATTAGATCATTGCAATATGATTTTCTTTAACAGAAATTGTAGTGAAGAATAGAAGTGTCTCCACCTGATTGAAACTACAAGTGTCAAATTTACATGACCATTGCTTTTAAGATCTGTTCGATTACCTACACCTATATAAAAAATATAGAACTTCACTTGAGGCATGATACCCAATGTTGAATGCATTTTGCTGATTAATTTTACTAACAGTTGTTTATGATTATCTTTCTATACCCCAATATGTTGTGTAATTTGAAAAACTCTCTTGTAACATATCTCCTGTTTTATATTCAATACAATAAGTAAAGCATGTATGTGACATATATGTGCAATTATAAAAGCTAGAAAAATAATTTCCATCCTCATAAATATGTTTATAATGTGAAGTAGAAAATTTATAAATATGTACCTACCTAATATTCTTAATATTATTATTTACTTCGATACCTTAGGTTTGGAAAATTATAGTTGAATACGTAGTCATTGAACGGGCACTCTGAACTTCCTAATGAGTATTTTCCACTTTGTTTAACGAAAGTTTAACGAGCGCGGTCTTAAGTTGAATTTAAAACTTTTGTACGTTGCAAAGGATCGAAAATTGACATTTATTAACCACAGTATAAAATGACAATTAACTTGAAGTTTACATTTGTCACAGACACTATCATTACTCCATTATATTTATCTATAGTAATATTATAAAGCTGTTTGTCTGAACGCGCTAATCTCAGATACGACTGGTTGGAAATAAAAAAAATATATATTTTTGTGTTAGGTAGATGATTTATTGAGAAAGGCTATAGCATTACGCCGTGACTAATAGGATCGAAGAAACAGCGGGAAATGTGGAAAAAAAAAACGGGGTAAATTGTTGATCTTTGTGGGTTTCTGATGCATACACTGCGAAAACCAATTTGGTTGCCGAAAATAACTATTCGACGCGGACGAAGTCACAGCTAGTCTATACTAATTTTAAAAAGCCGAAGAGCTTGTTTACTTGTTTGAACGCGCCAATCTCAGTAACTACTGGTTTGAATTTAAAAATTATTTTTGTGTTGCTTAGAGCATTTGTCGAGGCTTTAGGCTATATAACAGAAACTCCCAAAAAATATATATCAGTGTTTCGGGCTGTTCGGCCGATGTTGACTCCTCGATTTCTCGAAGAATAATTCTTCGAGCAATCGAGGAGTCCATGCGTGATAGCGAAACGTCGAGAACCTCTACTCGCTCACGTCGGCCGAACAGCTCGAAAGACAATGATATGCTGAACGATGGCCGTGAAAGCCTTACACAATTTATTTTCCCAAAAAATATGTCTCAAAACGGGGTGCTCTCATGATGTAAAAAAATATACGTGATTAATGCCTATCTTTTAAATGGCCTCTTAGTTTAAAACCAATTAACCTGGTTCGTTCAAAAACACTTCTCATAAACTTTACTTACCCTTTTTTATACTTACTCTCCTTAAATGAAGACCACGGTATCGCATTTGACGTAATTATTTTGTTGGTAGCCAGTAACCACAGACACTAGTATCAGTGACTGTGATTTGTTTACAATTGTAGTAGTTTATTATGTGACTATTTCAATTATAGTAAAGTACTTTTTGGTGAGTAAAATGTACTTAAATTCAATATGCATGAAAAAAACATCTTGAGCATTTCTGGTCTTTCATCGGTACTATAAATCCACTATTATCGTTTTCTACATACTATATCTAAATCAAATGATTAGATTAAAGTTAAACTGTTTAGTTACAACAGTAGCAAAAAAAAACTATGGTTTAATAACTAAATTTCCAATGGCATGAATAGAAAAGGTTTAAATAGAGGTGTGCCAGACGATGATGTAAAGCAACTCTTAAAGATATCCTCTCCATCCATCAGCGTATATTCGGGGACGGAAGTAGGTTCTTAGTAAAGTAATTTAGCAAGTAAGAATATCGTGATGGACAGTTGAGGAGCTTAGTGTCAGTGCAATGTGTAATAATATATAAAATAAAATGTCAGTCCTAGAGAAAATAAATACTTATAAATACGCTTCTCTCCAAAAAAACTAGACGTTAATCAGACGATATAAATTGTGTGTAAAAAATGCGAAATGATTATTTTTTTATAGCATTTATTAAATAGATTTCACATAAAGGTAACATACAAAAAAATTCACGTAATAAATATTATATTATTAATTATGGATAGGTAGGCTCTAAATATTCAATTCGCCGTGTTATAAATACTGCCACGCCTAATAACTTATTACAATTAGGTGAAACATACAACACAATTTAATTTAAACAATATCGTGCACTTAAAACAAACTAAGTTAAAGATCATCGTAACGTTAAACTATAAGTATCTCATTCAATTCGGATTTGTACTTGCAGAAAACATTAGGTCAACAACGGCAGTGTTTTGTCAAACATAGAGACTGGCAAGGTAAGATGCGTGCGTACTTCCAAGTGCGACGCCATGGGCGCTCAACTACGATACTACTATGTTTCTTTGTTGGGAAGTTGACAGCGGTATTATGGACTTGTATCAACCACGAGTAACTTTGCGTTCACGAGAACGACCCACCCTGACCCCGCGGCACCTACAGCGCTGAGCCACTATATACATCTTCGATACCGTGATAAAAATTTACATAACGCATCTAACGTGACACTGTCAAAGTTAGTCGTAGCTGTTTAATGACATTAGGTGATGACGGAACACTTCGCACCGTACGTGCATTATATTAGGTGACAGTCAATGTTCTGTCTCGCGTGTAAATCTTCATGCTCGTACATCGGGCCTCATGTATCTGTTAGATATATAAGTCCAGGTGTATTAATATAACAGCGTCGATTAAACACATAAAGCATGAAATGATTTTTAACATTGTTAATAGGCCAATAAATCATTAGCAGGCTTAATTTAAGAGTATTGGGTGAAAAATACAGTCGGCAGTACACCGGGGGGCGCGTCTTGTGCGCTGAGCAATTTCATGATAATCATATTGAAATTTTATTACACTTCGTAGCGGTAAAGCAAAACAAAACAAATTTGTCGTATAACGTGTGTCGTGTTAATCACATGTTACGTGTATACTTGGTTTATTATCTCGACGTGAACATGTCGTTTCAAGCAAAACGTTTATTCCACCGCGGTGTAGTTCAGATTTTGCGAATCGTATGGGATAGGAATGTTAGTTCGGGAAACTGAGATAGACAACACAAATAATTAACTTGTAGCATGCATATTAACATGTGTACAACAATTTCTAACATTTATTTATTTTAAATTTGGAACTAGTATTAGACAACAACCTAAAACATTCGCAAAAACTAAACACCAAACAGTGGAATAATTTCCCGTTTCGTTGAAATGAAATGTCCTGAAACGAGGAGATCGGCTGGTCACCCGAGGCTCGAAGATCTTCAGTCGTCACCTGTTGCCATGGTAACTAGGACTATTTACACAAAAAGCTATAATGTACAGCACTGTTAGATGCATATTTCGCGCAAAATATTACGGAGTTATAACTATTGACTCCACTTGCGGCTTTGTTAGATTGCGGAGTGTTCATTCGACATGTCTCGATACTGTACAATTTTAATGTCAGCGAGTGAAATGGTTTTGACAATATGATAAAAGCTGGTGGTCACAGTCTATGTGTCATATAATCACGACTTCACACGAAATGTCTGAAAAGCGGGCGGAGTCGTTACTGCGCGGACCGCTACGATTATAGAGTTTGTGTATTTTCGCTTGTCAACTAGGTCGATGATAAAGTAGTTTTCACCCGATCTCATTAAACAGAGATGAAACAAAGAAACACTACATTAATGGATTAAAAGTGCGCGACGCGAGCTCGCTGCCTGTATCTATGTCTTACTTTTGACGACTAGTTTAGCGGAGGTCTCCACTTGGCCGGCGACGGTCGTGGCGCGACAAGTGAATATACCGGTGTCCTCTTCGTAAGTGTTGCCAATCAACAGCACCGCATTGTTGCCTTCGTGTATCATCTGCAGGGAACAATATGATGGTTTCAGAAATCATTATCTGCGTTAAAACTCGATGGATATTTTAACTGATCACTGATATTATGCATAATGTATTTTTTCTAACTTGGCAAATGACCGCAACAAATATGGCCGATTTCAAACCACAGAGAACTAATGAGGACCTCTTATAGAGTAGTTGTAGCCAACACCCATTATATATGGACCAAATGACCTTAATATTCAAAATCACTTGCATGTCGTTATTATTTAACTCGACGTTTGTCTCGCTATTCAGCGATCGTGCCTGAGTGGGATTTTTATTGTCGTTTACTTTGTTTACATTCCATTCCTAAATGTCAAACAAAAGAAATTTTAATTTGTCCATTTAGGTAAATTCATTTTTAAGATTTTTATTAATTTTAGCATGAATTTAAGGTAATTTAATTAGTTTAAACTAACATCCAGTGTCTCAAAGTGTTTAAGTGTAAACAATATAAATCTTTTCGTGTAAATTGTGTGTTTGTTTACTAAAATGCCAAGTTAGAAAAAATACACTACTGTAGTGTAGATTTTTGTGTAGTAGGTCAAAACAACTCATCTAATATTTTATAACAGAAACAATGAAGATATATAAACAATAATAATGATAAATGTGATGAATTATACTAACTTGGAAGTCAGGCGTTTCAGGAATAAGAGCGCCCTCTCGCAGCCATTGAATGGTTGGTTTAACTTTGCCAGATATCTGAGTCTTGAACTGCGCAGGTTGTCCTTCATAAACAACAACGTCACGTAAAGGTGTCAACGTCGGCAAGTTGTCAGCCTGATCGGGCTGGGTTACTTTAAGCTTCGCAGCAACCGTCACTCTACCAGCTGAGTTGTAAGCCACGCACTTGTAATCGCCCTCGTCTTCGGGGAAAGCTTCCGAAATGCGAAGTGTGTAATCGTCAGCTGCACGTGACATTTGGAAGTACTTCGACGGCTTAATCAACCGGTCTCCTCTATACCATTGTACTGTTGGCGTTGGCTTTCCAACGATCTTGCAACTGAACTCGATAGCCTGACCCTCGGTTACAACGCGGTCCTTGAGTGGTTCGATTATTTCTGGTGGTGCGTTCGCTGCTTTAGTTTGCGGTTTGGGTTTCTCCTTTGTTGCTGGTGGGCTGACGACACACTCAGCGTCGCATCTTGCCTCACCCGCGCTGTTGATAGCCACGCATTCATATTTACCAGAATCTTGAGGGTACGCTTCAAGAATCAGAAGTGTGAATGTACCATCTTCTTCTAGTATTTTGTTTCTAATGTCCGGTTGCACCTTTTTGCCGTTTTTCAGCCAGTAAACGTCAATTGGCTTCGTACCAGTAACCTTGGTGTCAAGTCTTACAAGTTGACCGGCTGTTACATTAACGTTTTGAGCGGTTAACGTGAAACTCGGTGGGATGACTCCGCCCCTGCCTTGGCGTCTACGTTCTTCTACTACCAAGTTGGCACTACATTTAGCGGTACCAGCCCTGTTTTCAGCAACAGCGGCGAACACAGCAGAATCTTCTATAAACACTTGCCTTATGATGAGAATTGACTTAGTGCTGAACGTATGAATTTGGAAGTCAGCCGAATTCTTGATTGGGAAGTTTTCACGGTACCATTTTATGGTAGGTAGTGGATCTCCATCGAATTCGACTTCGAATCTAGCTTGTTCGTGCTCCAATGCTCTGCATGGTTGCATTTTCTTTGTGAATACAGGGGGTGTGGATGGTTTGACAGGCCCTTCGACGACCCTCTCCTGGGTTTGTGCCTTATGTTCAACTTCAGTAGTCTCTGTTGATGTGATTTTCCTTGTTATTTCTGTATCGCCTACGACTTCTTTCTGTACTTGCTTCTGTTTTGCGACATGAACTTCCTTGCCGTGAACGGTAGACTCTAAAGGATCGGGGATTCTTGGCTTCTGAACCCTTTTATGTGTTTCCTTTTCAACAACCTCCTCTGTTTGTTCTCTGTAATAAATAATAATGTATTATTAACTAATCTTAAAAATGATAGTTTTTTTTAATAAGCGATGAGTGCTTACAGATTATCTTCGTATTTCTGGGCCATACTCTTTGCAACGGAAGCGCTGGTGACCTTTTCACCTGGGACCGCGTATTGGTGTATCGATTCTCGCATCCTGCTTTCTTTGACAATTTGTTCGTTTTCCAACTCCTGTAGTTTATTATAGTACTCTTCGCTCTTCTTCTTCTTGACAGTTTGTTGCCATTCTGTTTCCGGTTCTTTAACGATCTTTTGCTTTAGTTCCGGTCGGTGATCGATGACTCCCTTCCGTTGCATCGTTTGCCTCTCTTCAAATGTTTTTTCCAGCTCAGTGTCAGATCTCTGGTATTGTGTTGTTTCGTCGTACCAAGCTAAATTATAAAAGTCATTATTAGCTGTGGATCTTGTAATTTAGGCATGCACAACTTAAAACATACCTCAGAAAGATTCCGATGCTAAGCCAGCAGAAGCAGGTAGCAGCAGGTCGTCGCAAGGGTAGGGGGTGATTAGGGAAGCTTTGGGGTAATTCGTTGTTTAAGCGATAGGTGGCGTGTGCGTAATGTCAGCGTGTATTAGTGTAGCAGAATATCGTAAGCTGTTAATGTTCTTATTCATTAAGTTCTTTGTAAGCGAGAGTAGAGCAAAGCCGCGGTGCCGTCACTCTGATTCGTGTGTTATGTAATATACGTACGTCTTGGCGCATTCTTGAGTACACTCCTGTAGTCGTCGTGTCTCGGTATTACTTTCAGTTCGGTCGTAGCTAGTGCTTCCCCTACAGAGCTCCTGGCGATCACTTCGATTTTACCAGTATCGTACTGCCTTGTCTTGGGAATATCAAAGTGGTACATTCCGTCGTATATCAGTTTATATCTAGAGCCCTGGAATATTTGTAAAAATTAAGATTTTAAATACGTATATAGATACCCGATGAACCCGATTAGTGCTTCCGATAGGATAACTAAACATTGACCAACTTATACGTGTGTATATCCTAATTGTATAATAATGCAATATGTAAAAGACTCTGTCGATCTAATGGTACAGGTCGTGGGTTAGATTACCACCGGATCCAACGTGTTTCTTATCGATTTTTTTTTCTAACATGCGGGACCTAATTTAGAAATCGGGATATTATCGGGACGTCTACAGATAAAAAAAGCCGTGAAATTCAATCTCAATACAAAATAGGTCGACTGCGTTTCTTGCAATATTATACAGCGAGGGCATTTTACCTTCCATCGAGTGAAACCCACGCTTGTCTGACTTCCTCTATCATAAAAAAGTCAACAACGAAATATCGAATAGAGTTAAAAAGACACTTTACATTAACAATCGTGTTTCCATTGATGAGCCACATAACGCGAGGTTTAGGATGACCTGTAACCCGACAGCAGAACCTGGCCCATTCGCCTTCTTCGACCGTGACCGGTTCCGGTTTGCTGACGAATACGGGTGCCGATCTTTCCTTCACCTCATCGCCTACTTGTTCTGGAACCCTGGAAATACGAAGAAAAAAGTATGTTAATTATTAAGTCATCACTATCATTATCATATTGTTAAACGGTTTAAAACGCGTCATGCACTTGTTAAACATATTTACATATACTATGGAGTAACCCCGTGACCACGGCTGCAAAACATTCGAAACGTAGAGCCTTAAAATAAGTGTAACTAAGACACATCGCGTTTTAAACTGTTAAAAGTATTTTATTTAAAGAAAATCATTTGTGTGAGTACTTACGCCTGCCATGCTGCTTCCATTTCTCTAATTTTCTCGATACTCTTCATGTGTTTAGGCAATTGTGAGTCGTATACAATGCCAGGTTTTCCCGCAGTTTTAATTACGGCTCTGGTCTCATCCATGCCATAAAGGTTCGTGGCACGGCATAAGTATTCACCACTATCCTCTGGATACACCCAGCCGAAGTTCATCGCGACGTATCCGAAGTCATAAATTGGAGTGAACCGGTTCTCTGCAAAACAGAAGTATGATGTAATAATCTATACTAATATATAAAGGTAAAATGTTTGTTTGAACACGCTAACCTCAGGAACTAAAGGTTTGTATTTACATTTTTTTTTGTTTTGTTCAGACCATTTATCGAGGTAGGCTATATTAAGATTGCTCTGCGCCCAATAGAAAGAAACCGAGGGAAATGTGGAAAAAACGGTGAAAATTATAATAATCTTTGAGGGCTTCGGTTACGGGCGTTGCGCAAGGAATTTAAGGAACCGAAAAATATGTATGAAAGAATAATTCTCTATTAAATTACCTAAAAATGTCCGCGACAGTATAAGTCTATCTATAAAGTTAAACACGGACGACGTAGTGGTTAACAGTGATAAAGTTGAGGAGGTTGTTCAAAAAATAATTATTGCACACAGATGAAGTCGCTGACACAGCTAGTATAGGTTATTCTTAACCCAGAAATTGACAAATTTTATGTGTTGACCTCTATATAATATTATAATATACATAATTACAGTCCTAAATTGTTACTTACTGTGCAACAAAGGTTTGCCGTTAAAGAACCATTCTACTTTCATATTAGGATCACCAACAGGCGCTAGTTGACATTCAAACTTCGTGGTTTCCATCTCCACTAAGGTTGTTTGACTTTGAATTTGTGTCACGAATCGCGGAGGCTGCTTCTTGTCGGCGTCATATAAATCATCTTCAGTTAGGAATATTTCAGATGTATACTTCTTGATAGTAGCTTCCATTTGTGTCAATGCCTCTGTCTTCTTCATGCCTCGTGGAACTTGATTTTGTAGAATGATGTCCGGCAATTCTATGAAAAACGAATTATTTTTGTACAAAATATAACGAGATAAGCGACTCATAACCTGCATGTTCTTAAACCAAATCAATGATAACATTTCACAAATTTTACATATTGCAAACAAAGATACTCACTTTTACATGACACCGTGGCTTTAGTAAAGTCTTCGCCGAAGTCGTTTACAGCACGACAGACGTATTCACCGGAATCTTCGGAGTATACATATAAAATATCCAAAGAAACGAAACCCATGTCATACACTGTGCGGAAACGATGACCGGATGGTAGCAGTTTGCCGTTCCTGTACCATTCTATACGTAACTTCGGATCTTCTTTCGGTTCCACGCGACACTCGAAACGAATCGACTCCGATTCCTCAATAGTGTGTGACTGAATCTGTGTTACGAATTTCGGTGGGCTGTTTATGACGGGTTCCTCCCTAGGTCCGTCACTGACGCGGCCCTTCTCTAGTTCCTTGATCTTTTCGCCACTCATGCCCTGAGGCAATTGTGACTCGAAGATTATATCGCGCTTGGTGCTGCAGGTAATCTTGGCAGTAGTTGTTGCTGATCCCCATTTGTTTGTTGCACGACAGGTATATTCTCCAGCGTCTCTTGCATAGATGTAGTCGATATCCAAAGCAATGAATCCGAAATCATTGAGCATGTGAACGCGAGAACCAGTGGCGAATGGTCTGCCATTGTGGAACCAATCGATTCTCATCGTAGGATCACCTACTGGTTCAACGCGACAGTCGAAGTGAATGGGACCACCTTCCGCAACATCGAGATTGTCCTTGATCTCCACAGTGAAACGAGGTGGATTTGGCTTCTCGTCTTCAATTGGGATTTCCTCTCGTTTATGCAAGGTTTCTTCTAATTTCTGGATACTCTCTGTACCTGATTTGAATTGGCTTGGCAACTGAGGTTCTAAAATAATACCTTGTCTACCTTTAACTTGAAGCTTGCATGAAACGGTTGCTTCACCATGGCGATTAGTTGCCTTGCAAGTGTACAAGCCCGCGTCACGCTGGTAAACGCCTCCGATCTCTAATATGACAAAGCCAAAATCGTTAATAGTCTTCACCCTTGATCCAGTGAGCAGGGCTTTACCGTTATGGAACCATTCTACTCTCATACTGGAGTCATTCACGGGGATTAACCGGCACTCAAAGTGAGCTGATGAATTCTCATTCAAAATAAGGTCAGATGGTGTTGTAACAAATTCAGGTGGGTTACCACTCTCGACCTCTGGGCTTAGATTATCTGATGCTCCACTGTAACCTTCCAATGCTGCTATTTTCTCTATAGTACCTTCCATACCCTTAGGAAGTTGAGATTCTAATATTATGTTCCTCTTGCCTTGGACTTTCATTGTAGCCGTGGTGACCGCCTCACCATAGTTGTTATACGCTCTACACATGTATTCACCCGAATCTTCTGGATACGTTGGAGATATTTCGAGGATTACAAAGCCGAAGTCGCAGAAGGTTCTGAATCTCGAACCAGCCTTCAACGACTTGCCATTCCAATACCATTCAACCTGAAATTAAAATTAATACATGTTGAAATAATAATGGACAAGTGGATTAAGACAATAGAAAAATAGACTTTCTAGTAAAAAATAGAAAACTTACTTTAAGGTTGGGGTCGTCAGTTGGTGTTAGACGAGCTTCGAAGTGAGCATTTTCACCTTCTCTAAGATTGTCAATATTCGACAAAGGCACTGTGAAGACAGGTGCTTTTCCGCGGGTCTCCGTAACGTCAACGTCCTTCCTTCGTACCATAGAATCTTCGAGTGTTTGTAATTTTTCCAATCCACCTTCCATGCCCTAAAAAAGATAATATATGTACATGAATGCTATTATTGTTTAATTTGAAGCTTGTTGAGGAAAAATAAGTTTCAATATAAGAATTGTTTCGTACCCGCGGTAGTTGCGAGTCCAGGATCAAATTTTCCTTCGATGTGCATTTCAGTGTAGCTTTTGTTGAGTCACGGCCCAATTTATTTGTCGCCACGCATTCGTATTCACCTGAGTTTTCTTCATAGCAGTAAAGTATGTCTAATATAACAATACCGAAGTCGTGGAATGTTCTGTACCTATGACCGTGAGGTAATTTCTTACCGTTGTAGAACCATTCAACTTTAAGGTCTGGGTCATCTACTGGTATCAGTCGAGCTTCAAAGTGTGCACTTTGGCCTTCTACCAATTTGGTTACATCTTCTATTTGAGTAGTAAATTTAGGTGGAACTGCGGAAGCAGGAGCCGGCGCCTGGTGTTGTATGCCTTGTAGACTTTCTAACTCTCTGATTTTAGCCAAAGAGTCTGGTTGTAAACTGTCAGAGTAAACTCCCCCCTTGCCGTAGCAATTAATTGTTGCTTTAGTGAAATCTTCGCCATATTTATTATACGCTCGACAAACGTATTCACCGGAATCGTGATTTTGAGTGTAAGCTATGTCCATAACTACAAAACCGAAATCTGAAATAGTTTTGATTCTGTTGGAATGGCGTAGCTGCTTTCCGTTGTGGTACCATTCAATCTTCATGTCTGGATCATCCACTGGTACAACAGTGCACTCAAAGTGAGCAGATTGTCCGTCCTTAAGACCTTCAATATTTTGAATGTGTGTTGTAAATCTAGGCTTTTGACCTTTGCTCTTATCTACACACTCAAGTTTACAACTGATTTCAGCTGATCCCCACCTATTGGTAGCACGGCATGAGTAAATACCAGAATCAGAAGTTTTTGTGCCAAGAATTTCAAGAACAACCATGCCAAACGCATAAACTGTACGAATGCGGTGACTGGCTTCTATAGTCTTGCCATTGTAGAACCATTCTATAACCATGGTTTGGTCACCTGTTGGTATGAGGGAAGCTTCATAATGAGCAATTTGGCCTTCACTTATATCAAAGATATCTTGGAATACTGTAGTGAATTCAGGTGCTCTACCGGTGTCGTCGTCAGGCTTCATAGAAGGCTCTTTACGAAGAGAGTCCTCAAGATTTTGAATCTTCTCCAAACCTTCCTTGCCTTTCGGATGTTGAGTGCGTTCAATAAGGTTCTCTTTGCTGCTGCAGTATATAGTGGAGGAAGTGAAAGCTTCACCTCTCTTATTGTATGCTTTACAAGTGTAAATACCGCTATCTCTTTCATAAACATCTGTAACGTCTAAGGTTACAAATCCAAAATCGCTTGCAAGTTTGAACCTTGAACCATGTTCTAAGACTTTTCCATTAAAGTACCACTCTATTTTTAGGTCAGGATCCTCCTTTGGTTCCACTTGGCCTTCAAGATGCAGAGGTTGTCCTTCAATTAACTGACATTCAGCTGCAACTGGCACGATCCATTCCGGTTTAGCATATTCAGTGTCTGGAACTGATGGTCTTCTTGACTTAGCCAATCTATCTGCCTCTGCCTGCTCTACAGCTTCCAAACCAGCCTTACCTTGAGGATGTTGAGTGTCAAGGTAAATGTGTTTGTCTCCAGTGCATCTCAATGTGCCTGATGTCGTTGCAGAACCCTTGCTGTTTGTGGCCTTGCATGTGTAAATTCCGGAGTCTTCTTCATATGTATGCAATATATCTAGAGACACATAGCTGAAGTCATGTATGCTCTTGTATCTGGTACCAGATGGTAATGCTTTATTGTTAAAGAACCATTCGATTTTAAGTGTAGGATCGCGAGAAGGTTCTACATTGCATTCAAAGTGAATGTTATCTCCTTCTTTGCATAAGATATTGTTCAAATGAGATATAAATACTGGTGTCTCGTATACTGGCTCAGGAGAGTCCGGTTTACCAGGCTTAGGTTGTTCTAAAGCACCAATTCTCTCTAAGGACTCTGGATGTAAAGTATCGCCCATTAACCAATGACGGTCTTCTATCTTTATGGAAGCTGTAGAAACAGCTTCTCCCATCAAATTGACTGCTTTACATGTATAAATACCAGAATCATCGTGTCTCAAACTGTTTATAGACATTGTAACCAATCCAAAGTCAAAGGTACTCTTGATTCTTGAACCTGTGGTCAATGACACACCATTCTTGAACCACTCAATTCTCAAATTAGGGTCAGTGCGAGGCTCTACTTGAGCTTCTAGGTACAGATGTTGTCCTTCAACGAGTTTGTCGTAGCTCTGCAAATGTGTGGTAAAGATAGGCGCTTGCTGTACTCCCAAATCCACGAATCTTTCGGGTACTTGGTTCATTGATGCTTCCTTGAGCTGTATTTTTTCCCAAGACTCAGGTCGCATTGCTTGATTCTCTATCGTAGATTTTGTCTTTACTTTTAGAGAAGTTGAAGAAACTGTACTTCCAGCTTTGTTAATAGCCTTGCACATGTAAAGACCTGCATCATCTGATACCACAGAGTTAATATCCAATGTGACAAAACCGAAGTCATGCGTGGTACGGAACCTTGATCCTAGAAGAAAACGACAATATTAATTCCTGCTGCTTAGTGATACTTAAAATAAAATTGTTTTAATAACAAATATAAGACTTACCCATTTTTAGTTCCACTCCATTAATATACCATTCAAATCGTAAACTTGGATCACCAACAGGTACAACTCTTGCTTCATAGTGGGCGTGTTGTCCTTCCCAAAGTTCAGAAGGACCGGTTAATACTTGAGTAAATATTGGTTTTTCAAATTCACGTTCTGGTTCTTCACCCTTTCTAGGTTGTGGTTGTTCTAACTTTTGAATCTTCTTCATGCCTTCTGGATGTTGTGTGTCAAGTTGGATAGCTGCTTTAGCTGTTGAATTAAAAGAAAAGTGAGACATCTCATACAGATCACCATCACCATCTATTGACAACAAACTATATTGCGTTCACGTTTTTAAGGTTCTTTTAATATACTTACTTTTGATTTTCATTGCAGCTGTAGTGACTGCTTCTCCTAGCAAGTTCGATGCTCTACACATGTAAACGCCTTCGTCTTCGTCGCGTACGTGATTAATAGTCATAGACACGTATCCAAAGTCGTTTGTTTTTGTAATCCGCGAGCTGTCCTCAATAAGTTTTTCATTCCTGAACCACTCAACTTTCAAAGTAGGATCTCCAACAGGAATCAATCTACAATCTAAGTGGGCTGTTTGGCCTTCCTGAATATTGTCAATATTTTGAAGTGGTTGAGTGAAAACTGGTCTTTGCCTGGTAACCGGCTCCGGAATTTCCGGTCGCTTGAATGGTTCCGCTGATTCCAATTCTCGGATCTTTTCCAATCCTTCTGGACGTTGAGATTCCGAAATAATACTTCCTTTTGCGGTTACAGTCATGGATATTGAAGAAGTGCACTGTCCAAGGGCATTTATAGCCTTTACTGAATATTCGCCGGCGTCTTCTGGTACACAGTGTTGAATATCCAATGACACATAACCAAAATCAAAAGTGATATGGAATCGTGACGCAGATTGCAGGGCTTTACCATTGTGGTAGAATTCTATGCGAAGATTTGGATCGTGTACAGGTTCAACTTGACACTCGAAGTGTGCGGTTTGTCCTTCATACACATGTGTTGTTCCACGCAGCTCTGTTACGAATCTAGGTGGGTATACCTTAGGTTCTTCGACTTCCATTCTAGATTGATGTCCTTGAGCTTCAAGTTGCCTGATTTTCTCTAGTCCATTAGGATGCTGTGTGTCCAAAATAATATTTCTGTGCCCTAAAAAAATATAAATATATTTAATTTAAACTTTTCAGTTCACCAACATTTTATTTATTTAATAGTATGGAGTATGGAAATTTTGTCAGACATACCTGCAACCTTCAACGTGCACGTATTGACTGCTTCTCCAAGTTTGTTTGTAGCCTTACACATATAAGTGCCGGAATCTTCTGCATATGTATACAAAATGTCTAAAGCAACGTAACCAAAGTCGTGTGTGGTTCTGAATCTGTGTCCCGTCTTAATTCTTTGTCCATTGAGGAACCATTCAATCTTGAGATCTGGGTCATTGATTGGTTCCACTCTAGATTCAAAGTGAGCGTGATCACCTTCCTTTAGGTTCTCGAGATTTACCAAAGGCGTAAGGAATACAGGTCTTTGTCCCGGTGTTACTTCCTCAACAGGCTTTGGTCTTTCATACTTCTCCAGCTCTTGAATCTTTCTAAGACGTTGTTCATCCATAGTGTCCAGGTAAAGGCCAGCTTTAGCTGTAATTATAATTTTAATTACATTAATTTCATAATTATATTAGTATAATATGTTATTATTTAAGTTTATTACTTACCATCTACTTTAACAGAACTGGTAGTAACAGCCTCACCAACTGCATTAGTAGCTTTGCACATGTATGTGCCAGAATCCTCACCATAGGCATACAACACATCTAAAGCCACATATCCGAAATCATATGTGGTCTTAAATCTATGACCCTGTTGAATTGGCCGACCATTACAGTACCATTCAACACGCATCGTGGGATCATTGACCGGTGTCAAAGTGGCTTCCAAATGTATAGGTTGCCCTTCGGCTGCTTCAGCGTTCTTGATGGGTTTGCCGAATTGAGGCTTTTCTGCAATGAAGCTTTCATCGTGGACAGTTTTCTTGTATCTACTGTCATCCTCAAGATATTGAATCTTTTCTAAAGCGCTTTCGTGCTGTGTGTCTCTAATAATGGATTCCTTAGCTGAAATCAAACAGTCGAATGGAAATAAATATGATGGATTATTTGACTGATTTTTAAAACGGACTTCATATTTTTTGGTAGATGTTAAGAAACCCCAAAAAAGTAATATTGTTTAATTCTGGTTCATATTCGCTATAATAGTTCAGCGAACATAAAAATTTTGAGCGTAGACGTTAATTTTGCCGCTGCGATACGGCTTGTGACGTTAAGACCTTTATTGGCCATTGGTGTATGTCGATCATATTATGATCTACAATTAACATGCATTTGTACTTAACTTTTACATTTTAACAGTGATTGAGGTAAAAAAATGAGTTCTGAATCTGCTAATGCAGAGAATAGAAGTTTTTACACTAGCACGGTGGTTTATAGTACTGTTTCTAAGCGAGTGACGTCTCTAAGAGGCGTTTTGTGTCACGTGACAAACGTAAAAAAAATATTTGCGATTATTATCTAAATCAATTACTTGTAAAATATGTGACTGTTTTACTATTTCTAAGCTTATGTTTAATACGGATAATACTAATTGACGGTATATTTTTTTCATTGTCTCAAAAAGCCCATTGTTTTTAAATGCAAAATGACAATGATTACTAAATTTAATTCCTTATTTGTATTTTAAGAGGATATTCAAAATATATTACTTACATTGAACATTTAGCTTAATAGATGATGTTGCCTGTCCTAAGTTATTGATCACTTTGCATGTATATTCACCGGAGTCTTCGCCATAGACTGTTAAAATATCCAGTGCTGCAAATCCAAAGTCAAACGCAGTACGATAACGATGACCGCTTTGTAGAACTTTCCCATTGAAATACCATTCTACACGCATTGTCGGGTCCGGGTAGGGTTCAATTCGGCATTCGTAATGAGCGCTTTGCCCTTCTACCAGTTTACTGGGGCCATTCAATTGAGTGACAAAACGTGGAGCTTGGTTGATTGCTATGTCAACGTCTTCCTTGCGCTGGAACCTGGAAGTGTCCTCGAGCTGACGAATCTTTTGAAGAGCTGCTTGATTTTGTGAGTCCAGAAGTAATGAGGCTTTAGCTGCAAAAAAATATGTATCAATCCCCGTTACATATATGCTAAGAAATCATGCCTATGTATTACTAAATTGAAGTAAGTTTATTTTTTCTTTTATCAACTTTTACTAGGTATTTTAATTTATAAAACAAGAAAATGATATAGCAAATCAAATAACATTAAAACAAGGTAATGAAAGGTAAAAACATCAAGTATGTATAGGGTCCATCAAACTAATTTGGGGTTGACGGCTCTTGACCGGCTCCTTGGTCTAATGGTAGCAATGTGTGGCTAGTGATCAACGGGTCGTGGGTTCGAACCCCACCACAAATCAACCACCAACCACCAACCACCATCCCCATGGTAATGTTAATACAGTATTACCATGAAAGACTTACATTGAACAAATAATGTCGATGATGTTACAGCCTCTCCTAATTCATTAACAGCACGGCAGGTATACGTCCCTGAGTCTTCTGGGTTCACATATTTCATGTTTAAGGCAACATAGCCAAAGTCGTGCATTGTCGTGATACGGTTTGCTAAAAAGACACAAATAAGTTACTTTCATGCATTTTGGAATAATTCAATAATAGCTTAAAATAATTAATGGTTTAAAATTCAATATATACTAGTGAAACTTATTTAAAAATAATTTTTACTCCGCCCCGATGTTTCAGATGCATATTATATGGCGTTTTAAACCGTTAAAGTGTTTTATTTAATTGTGTGCTATTCGCGTAAAGTACAAACAGTATATAATAGCTTAAATTATATACTTACAAGCTGCGATAGCTACGCCGTTACGAAGCCACTCAACCTTAAGCCTCGGATCACCAACAGGTATTAATCTAGCTTCAAAGTGAGCTGCTTGGTTCTCTGCTACTCTTATGTCACGCATTGGCATAGTAAACACTGGTGTTTGCGTTACGGCATCTTCTGGTGCACTTGGCCTGTGATGTCTTGATGTGTCTTCAAGTTGGTGTAACCTTGGCAAGGCTTCCTGGTGCTGGGACTCCAAGTAGATAGACTTTTTGGAATGTACGACTGCTGTTGCTGAAGTAACGGCTTCTCCGAGGGCATTTATGGCTCTGCAGGTATAAACTCCTGAGTCTTCCGGTAGACAAGACATGATGTCTAATGCGACAAAACCGAAATTGTTTGTTTCCGTGAATCTGGATCCGCTCTTAAGTGGTTTGTTGTTGTGATACCACTCCACCTTCATAGTAGCGTCAGACACAGGGATTAACCTACACTCGAAATGAGCTCTTTGCCCTTCCTTAATTTCTACGTTCTTTAAAGATGTGGTAAATATTGGGGCCTGGGTCGTTATTTCATCGACGAACTCACTCCTCTGATATCTAGATCTGTCTTCTAAGACTTGAATTTGTTCCAAGCCGGCTTCGTTCTGAGTTGCGCGAATAATATCAGCTGTTTCGCGACAAGACAATCTGCAGCTGACCTCGTCAGTTCCTAGAAGGTTTACTGCGCGACACGTGTATATTCCAGAGTCCTCTGCAATACAATCAATAATGTCGAGGGCTACGTAACCAAAGTCGTGAATCGGCCTGAATCTATGGCCAATAGTTACCGGTTGGCCATTCTTAAACCATTCAACTTTTAAGTTTGAATCCGTTACAGGCTCAAGTTTACATTCGAAGTGGACGTGCTGCCTCTCCTTTACATTGTCAACAGATTTGGGCTTAGTAACAAACCTGGGTTTGATGTGTATTGACTCATCAATCACCTCAGACTTCTTGTACCGAGATGCATCTTCTAAGTATTGAATTTTTTCTAAGCCCGATGGGTGTTGCGATTCAAATATTAAGTCCTTCTTAGCCATTACTCGTAAGGCACACGATGTCACTGCCTCACCCAACTGGTTTGTCGCTTGGCATGTGTAAACTCCCGAATCTTCTGGATAGACACTAAGCAGATCGAGTGCAACATAATCGAATTCGTAGGCAGGTCTAAATCTGTGGCCTGTCTTTATCGGTCTGCCGTTACAGAACCATTCCACTTTCATTGTTGGATCTCCAACGGGTTGCAATCTACATTCTAAATGAACATTAGTGCCTTCTATAGTCTCGATATTATGCAAAGCTCTTGAGAATTGAGGCGCTTGCATGACTGTTATATCTTCTTGTACTTGTCTGGTGCGACGTGCTGCATCCTCTAGCATTTGGATTTGCTCAACGGCTTGCTCGTGTTGTGTATCGGTAACAACATCAGATCTCTCAATAACACGTACCATAGCAGACGTGTGTGCAGAGCCCAAGTGGTTGACGGCTCTTACTGTGTATTCTCCTGAATCAGCTGACGTAGCGTGAACTATGTCCAATGCTACGAAACCAAAGTCGTAATAGGTTCTGAAACGGGATCCTACAGTGACTGCCCTACCATTGTGGTACCATTCAACTCGCATGGTGGGGTCACCCATAGGCTCCAGGCGACATTCGAGGTGAATATTTTTCCCTTCCGATATCGGTTTAGGATCTGACAACGGTTGTACAAACACTGGTTTTGATTTTGAAATTTCTTCAATGTGGTACATTGGTTCTACGAACTTAGATTCTTCCATTTGACGTGTCTTCTCGTATAAGCCGTGATGAATACTAGAGGTGTCGATGGCAGATCGAGCTGTAAAAAATAATAATTATGTTTATTTAATAAGAAATATATTTGAACCGTGTGGGAAATGTCGCTTCCCATATATGAAGGTTCTATTTACACGCAAATTGAATTCGTCCCTAGTTCTAGTTCCCTAGGAACTAGAACCCGGGACCTAATGCAAAACTAGAAAACGTAGTCAATCGCCAAGCCACGGGCGATCTATAAATATTGACCATCTGATATATATTGTTAAATATTGACTATCCATCAAAGCAAGTTTGACAGAACTTACTTTCAACAACCATCGAAGCACTCAGTTGCGCCTCTCCCGATGCGTTTCTAGCAATGACACTGTATACACCGGCATCTTCAGCGCGAACATTTGTTATATCCAAGGCTACATATCCAAAATCGTGATAAGCTTGAATACGATTTGCTGACTTAATTAGTTTGCCATTGAAGTACCATTCTACTGTCATGGTCAAATCGCTTTGAGGCTCAACTCTTGCTTCAAAGTGAGCACTTTGTCCTTCAACTATTTTATTAGTTCCCTTAAGTGGACCCAAGAATCTAGGCTTTTGTGTTATCCTAACTTCTTCTTCAGATCGCTTGGAATATCTGCTAGAGTCTTCTAAATATTGTATCTTTTCCAAGCCACCAGGATGCTGTGACTCGGCGATAATATCTTTCTTCGTAATTATGGTTAGATTGGCGTTGGTTGTTGCTTGTCCTAAAGCGTTATAAGCTCTGCATGTGTAGTTACCAGCATCGTGGATTGTAACTGATTTAATTGTCAGTGCCACGTAGCCAAAATTGAAGAAGGTCGTTATTCTTGAACTAGCCTCAACGGGGCGTCCATCCTTCAACCATTCGACTCTTAACGTAGAATCTCCTACTGGCTCAAGACGAGCTTCGAAGTGGGCGAATCCACCCTCCTTAATATTCATCTGGTCCTTTATGGGAGTCTTAAATTCAGGTCGTTGTGTACTTTCAGGTACTTCTTGGTAATACCTCTGATTCTGTTGCTGCTGATAAGCCTCCAGCTGCTCAGTCTTCTCAATGTATCTTCTTTGCTCGGGTATGCCGAGGTCTTCTGTAACAGTGCTTCGTGCCGCAACTCTTATTGTCGCAGTACTAATGGCTTCACCAAGTTTGTTCACAGCTCTGACTGTGTACGAACCTGCATCTTCAACCCGTAGGTGCATGATGTTAAGGGAGACGTATCCGAAGTTGAAGATTGCTGTGATTCGCGAGCTGGCTGTGATCGATTTACCATCTTTGTACCACTCCACTCTCATAGTTGGATCGCTGACGGGCGTAAGTTGTGCTTCAAAATGAGCATTCCTTCCTTCTTGCAGTTCTCCAAGATCTTGAAGCGGTCTTATGAATTGCGGCCTCTGTGAAATCTGTTCTTCAATGGACTCCTGATGTTGGTACTTGGAGTAATCCTCCAGCTGTTGTATGTATTGTAAACTTTCAGGATGTTGGCTAGTACGTTCGATCGTGGCTCTGGGTGTCACTTGAAGCATTGCTTTCGTTTCTGCAATACCAGTGGAACTTACTGCTCTACACGTATATTCACCGCTGTCCTGAATGTTTAGACTGAGCATGTCTAGAGATATGTAACCAAATCTAAATATTGATGTAAATCTCGAACCTGCAACAAGGAATATTTTTTTAAATACATATACCATTTAATATCATTATTATTTATTAATAAATTGGTATACTTACTTGCTTCTATGCTTTGACCATTCTTTAGCCATTCTATCTTCATTGTGGGGTCACCCACTGGCTCTATCCTCGTCTCGAAGTGTATTTTTCCACCCTCAGTTTGTGTAACACTTCTAAGAGGAACAATAAACTGTGGTGGTGGATAAATTCGATCTTCCTCGCCAGGAGGAACATATGGTCGTGCTCTTTCCACATGCCTTAGGTATATGATTTCTGGTCCAGGTGCAGGCCTGCAAAATATATACATATATTATAAGTTCTGTCGTCAGTATGTTATTTACTATGGATAAGAATATTCTTCGTTACTGAAGTGTAAAAATTTTGGATGGTTTTAAAATAATAATATACTCACTCTGGTTCAATTATTTTTGTAGGCCGTGGTAAGTGCAGACGTTTCTGTTCAGGCGGAGGCTCCTTGGGTACTTCAACGTAGAGCCTTGCCCGAGTCGCGGTGGAACCTGCGACATTCTGAGCCGTGCACTGATACCACGCCGCATCCGACGCCTTGGCTCGCGGAATGTCCAATGTCGAGGCCCCACCTTCGGTATTAATTCGTAATTCAGGATTGGGTATAATCGGAACACCGTCCTTCTGCCATGTGATTCGTGGTGTAGGCGTGCCGACGGCACGTGCATTCAAAATTACTGGTTCACCCTCACGAACACTCAAAGTACTGAAACGTTCAACAAATTTAGGAGCAACTACTTGCTCCTTTTCTATAACATTCAATCTACACTGGAACGACGTTTCGCCACTCTTGTTTCTAGCGATACATGTAACTACACCACTATCACTAAGTTCGACATTGGTAATCATTAGAGCGTGATTACCAGATTCGTTTACAAGAATTTTGTGATTGTAATCATCTCGAATTTGTCTATCATTAATGAACCACGTGACTTCTGGGTAAGGTCTGCCTGTGACGCGGCAATCGAATCGCGTCATTTTGCCTTCTGTAACGTCGCGATCTTGGCAGACTTTTACAAATTGCGGGGCGAGAGCTTTTTCACTTATTTCTACTCTTTCAGTCTCTATTTGCTGGCTATCCGTTGCATACTGAGATTTTTGATCTTGGACATATGTTTCTTGGGGTGACTCAACAGCGAGATACGCCGATGAAACAACACATCCGTTAGGGTTTTCAGCCAGTAAAGTGTAATGACCAGAATCAGACTTTTGTACATTTCTTATCCTAAGTATAGTTTGGTTATTTGTGTTTATGATGTTGTTCTTTGCCGAGTTCACAATCCTCTGTCCATTCTTGAACCACGTAACACGAGGTCTAGGATTACCGGAAAGTTGTACTTGGAATTGTGCATCAGTTCCTTCTTGGAGTTTTGAGTTCCTTGGTTTTTGAGTAATTTTAGGTGGTGATACAGGTCCCAGGGACTTATCAACCTCTGTATTGACATGAATGTCACTTTCGCTTACGTACCTTTTAGTAATTGTTTCTCTGAATGAGACTTCTCTTAACAGTCTATATTCGAAAGTGTCTACTTTGAAGTCCTCAGAAGCTGAGTGATCTGTGCCATTAGTATAGGCATACTTTTGCGATTGACGCGATTGCTCAGTCATGTATTCGTGTGTTCCATATGATTTATGTTCCACACTCTCACTGACATGTCTGTAGCTCTGTTGTTGTGAAGCCTGCTGTGCAGGTACGGGTACACCCTCTGGTTGAATGTATACAGAACAGATGGCTTCTCCATACTGATTGCGAGCTGTACACGTATATTCACCCTCATCTCCTGGGCCTATTTGTTTTATCAATAGTGATACATCACCTGTTTGTTCATTATAACTCATACTATACTTATTGCATTCTACTAAAGGTGCTTTCTTTCTGGTCCATGACACGACTGGCGTTGGGTTACCTCTAAGTTTTCCCTCGAATTTGGCATTACCGCCTTGTGCAAACCTAGCATTCTTGAAAATTTGTTCGAATATAGGCGGGGAAGGATCCCCAGGCCTTCCAGCTGTGATGGGTATGCGGTCGCCACCGACACTCCCAACTGTAAAGAAAGAAATACCATACTTAGTCACCTGTTGTATTATAAGTTAATTTAAAACAATATTAAAATTCGCGTCACAAGCATTGTCTTAAATTTTTAAAGAATTATTCAGAGGTGCAATTGCTGTTATGCTTTTTCATAAAAATAAATGATAAATCTAATCAGGTTGTAGGATCAGGTTCCCAATTAAAAAAGCTATAATTTCCAGCTTAATGTGACCTGAAAATATCATATATATTATGACATATCTTTAAGTATGTCGTTTTCCAGCAGTGTAACGATTCTCGGATGCGCATGAGTCACCGCCGTCACGAACGGCACGGCGCGTACAAGCTCTCTTTGAGAGTTATTTTCGTGCGCGTTAGTCGGATCTGATTACGAACACCATTTTTGTCCGAATTATTCATATAATCGCGTGAAAAGTATTTTTAATTTAAACAATTTATTATTACAAGCAGTAATAATAAATTGTGCGTGACTTGCGGGCTTAGTTTTCAATTTTTACTTGCTTGAAGAATATATTTTTTTTATATAAATAAATATCTCTGCACATATTTAAATTGTTATTTATTATATCATTAATATTCATTGCACTTTATCTAGGCACAAATAAAAGTCTGTTTTTAAGATCATTTACTGTTCACAATTTATATATTTATTAATGCACTGTGTTTGTATATTATGTAATAATTGCTCGAAATAATAAATTGATAGATATACAGCCTATAAAATGTAAAAAACTTCTGAAAGGATAGGTTTACATATGATGTAATGTCAGTGCATATAGGTCAAGGTCATAAGACCTTAAATTAAGAATATATTGCAGGTACTTTTTCACGATAAATATAGCAACATGATTACTTCACATAACATTAGTTCTCATGAAAATATTTTGAAACATTCTGTATGTATGTGTAGGTGTTGAGTTGGGCGGGCTTTGGCAGCAGCCCAAAGTGATTAGGAAGTTCTTTATATAACAAATCATACATGCTTAGAAATACTTCCAATATTTCAATTAATGCTTTCACATTGAATACATTACACCGCAAGCTAATTCAGTTGCTTTGTAGAAAAAAAATAACTAGTCTTAAATATCTTTTTAATATTAGTCAAAATCAATATAAAAAGTAATGTACAGGTCTATTTGCTTTCAATAACTGATATATCAATCATTTAATAATAAGAGTATTGTTCCATTGAATAACCTTAGCAATACAACAATTGGAATAAGACGTCATGGCTAAAGTTCGCTCAAATTATGTAATTTTTTTATTTCAAAATTGTATAATTATCGTATTTTGATGATATACGAATGTCGAAAATTATCTAGTGGATTTTCTTAGAATGCGGCGAGTCAACGCCCCAAATTTTGTTTACTATTTAAATAACAAAACTAATTTTACAACACTTACGTTGGTTAGTTGGAACATATTTTCTTTTACTTTTACTTAATTATTTTACCGATCACTGGTTGTATTTATGTTCAATATTCAAACTATTTGTTTTGTTTACGAAACTAACGAACACAATTCGACTTTAGAAATACTTCAGTACAATACAATTGTCATTCAAATGATTCAATGTGTCAATTGTCAAAAAACCGTTCCATATCCTGCGTTGTTAGTCATCTGTAAGAATATAGATTAAAGAGACTTTAATAACAATATATTTTTGAGTAGCGTAATAATAAATATGTAATTGTTGTAGATATTTATATCAATCAAACGGAGAAAAGTAGCTTATTAAAAAAAACGAGACGCTGACAACTATAACTCTATCAGGAGAACATCTCTTAAGGCAAAAATATTCTTAGCAAAATTAGTTTTAATTTTTATCCTGTTGATGATTAAACACAACACTCCTTTATCAAAATGTTAGTCGTGAGAAAAGTGAAAATTAAAATAAAAAAAAAATATTATATTACTAATATTAACGAAAATGGAAAAATATAAAATTAAATGATGCTTTTTGATTGTGAAAGTTTTTAGCGTCTAATATTAATATGTAATATATTACAGTAGACTCTTAATTCGTATGTAATTGCAGTTCAACAATTACGTGTAATCGTATAATACGATATATTACTGCTTTATACCTGGCTCGACCGTGAACACACAACTCGCCATATGGTCAGTGGCCCTCCACATACAAGTACTCACATACTTAAATACTCGCCTTGTCATACATAACATACATTCAAATTAATGAAAATATCAAGCCATATGCAGTGACTAAATATTTGAATTTGGAATACAAAGACGAGGTTTAAGGTTGTTAGAATTATATTTAAGCAATTCGAAAATGCATTTTTTTTAAATTAAGCAACGTACGGAACAGGTAGAAATGGTTTAACGACATTAATTTCTCAAAAAAAATCTAGATATAGAAAAATTCCCGATGGTTATGTCGATAAGTCTCTCTGTGTATGAATTAAATCTATACTAACATTATAAAGCTGCTGAGTTTATTTGTATGTTTGAACGCGCTAATCTCAAGAAGCACTGGTTCGATTTGAAAAAACTATTTTTGTGTTGGATGTACCATTTTTCGAGGAAGTTTTTTCTTTATAACGCTGCGATCAATAGAAGCGACACAGCTAGCCGCGGATAATGGGTTTCTTTTTAATCATAGTACGTAAATGCCATAGAAAGATACTGGCACTATATTGTTTTGCCTTATCAAAAAATAAAAACTATTTTTAAATTTCCTACAAATACCGAAAGTTGTGTACACAGGTCTACCTACGGTTTGTCTATGCCGTGATTATACAACATGTAATTTTTTCCAATGCAAAAATTACTATTTACGTTGAAAATCTCGATTCAATGTAAATCTCGTAATAGTGGTCATGATAAGCTAATAACGGATCCGGAGAAAGCAATAAGTGTCGCTGGACAGCAAGCGAAGTATTATGGAATTAAATCTGATACATGCTTGTATTGCATAGCGGTATTAAAAAGCTTTCTTCGTATTACGGTGACTGCTTCCATTCTAATCGATGGATCGGAAATCGATCCAACCGAGTGAAGCACAAACGTAGTAACACAGTCACGAACTTATTAATCTATACTAATATGTGAAGCTGAAGAGTTTGTTTGTTTGGACGCCCTAATATCAGGAACTACTGGTTCGAATTGAAAAACTATTTTCGTGTTGCTTAGAACATTTATCGAGGAAGGCTTTGAAACAGCGCGATGTGACTAATAGGAGGGAAGAAATAGCGGGAAATATGAAAGAAACGGGGAATTCATCCGATGCGTATCCTGCGAAAACCGTTCCAGATATCCATTTAGTGTGTTTGAAAGAATGATTCCTCTTTAAAGGGTATAAAAATGTCTATCTTTTAAGACCAACTTGCAAGACGTCGGACCGCGATAGACGTCTATATGTTTATTTTAGCAGCTGTTTCCCCCCCGACGTCATGAGTAACCTTAAAAGTAAATTTAAGAGATGAAAAGAAGGTTTGCGAAAACAACTTTTGTATTCCCAAAATAACTATTCTACGCGCTGACACCAGTAGTGTACTAATATCCAACTGTCATCATATTAATCTGTGTACTGTGATAGACGCATAGATATAGCGGTAAATATGAGTTACACAGTATAAAACAAACAGTTACTAAGCAATTATGGAATGGGGAAAGTGAACAAACTGAAAACCGTTTGGCGCGTATATTAATTCGGAGATAAGTCGAGTAAACTTGTGCTGTGTGCCACCTGGGTAATGTTGCGTGCAGAAGTAGGATAGTCATATATTCAGCAACTTCACTGTATTCGAAAAATAGTATGTAGATTGGGTATTAGCAAGAACTATTTACAGCTTTGGATTTGTGAGTGCAAAATTATGAGGTCCGCAGTTCGATTTGCCATCGTTCGAAATATGTACATTCGGAGTAAGAAAATTGCAACAACCAAGATAGAAAATTCTAACACAAATTCATAATTTAAATAAAACACTTTAACGGTTTAAAACGCGATATATTGGTTAAACTTATTTGGAAATGATTTTTAACTTCGGCCCGACGTTTCCCTGTCTCCCCGTGACCACGGCTGCTGCAAAGCATCCGAAACGTCGGGCCGAAGTTAAAAATCATTTCCAAATAAGTTTAACCAATATATCGCGTTTTAAACCGTTAAAGTGTTTTTTTTAATGTGTACTACTCGCGTAAACTATAGACAGTATTTACTCATTCATCATTCAACATTATTTTGAATATAAATTTTAATTGATTTTCGTAATTTAAAAAAATATCTTACATGGTAAACAGTGATTGTTATGTGTCGTTATTCTTTTTTTTACTTAAGCTTATTATAGAAAGGGTCGAAAAATCGACATAGAGATATTCAAGTTTTCAGGAGAGAGGACAATAAAATTAGAACTCGATTAAGTAACAAATGGAAAACACTTGACACTCATTAAAATCGTTGGTCTAACGGGAGCAATGCTGGCCAATCAACAAGCCGTGGGTTTGATCCCCACCGGAACGAACATTTTTAAAATCAGTATTTTTTTATGTACCGTTCAAATGAAAGAGCCATGGAGGTTGATCGCGTTTCGGTTTCAGTCTGTAAATTTACGAATACCCAAAATACATAGGTTGACAATATGTATTAGCCGTCGTCGGGTCGGTATCACATGAGTTTAAAATAGGAATTAGCGATAACGTAATATCACCTAAGTGAGAATTGCCCACCAGAACATCGCGTGCGAGTATGAGTTTTTATTGTATCGATTGTATTGAGTAACTTTCGACTTTGTCGTGACACAGCCGCTGATCTTAGTTCCGCTATCTATGTAACTATCAACGATTGTACGGTCAGTCACCTGAGTTCTGTCGTAACATATCTGCGTATTTAAAATTTGCTGAGTCAGCGTTTTAATTCGATTAATTAGCTTTCATTTTTTATTGTTTTTTTTTTCGAATTAACTTCACGTCTTTTCCACGTGTGTTGATGGTGAGTGCGCTGGATGAAATTTCGTTATTCCTATTAACAATTTA